AGATGTTTTGCAGGGGAGAAGCCAAGGGTAACACACAGACAAGGTAAAACACATGACATCAATGGTATATATTACATAGCATTGAAGCTATCATATAGAAAACTATAATGGCTTAGAGAAAGACCTAAGGTGACTAAGTAAAGACAAGAGATACAAAGTTGGGCAGGTCGTGCATACATCATGGTATGGGCATGTAACAAATCATTGATATAAAACGTGTCTAGGAGGCATTACTAGAGATGTCTTGGAATAGGAGGGTGTAGGGGTAGTTTCTTCTTACAATAGGAAGGTGTAGGGGGTAGGGTCTTCTTAGAATTGGAAGGTGTAGAAGTAGGGTCTTCTTACAATAGGAAGGTGTAGGGAGTAGGGTCTTCTTAGAATAGAAGGGTGTAGGGGTAAGGTCTTCTTAGAATAGGAGGGTGTGGGGGTAGGGTCTTCTTAGAATAGGAGAGAACAAAGATGGTCGTGTACCAACACTACGTATGTGACATTCTGGATCAGGTGCAAAACTAAGTAAATGATGTCCTTGCAATGTACAAGGCTGTTATTTTTAAGATTCAGCTAAACAGAAATGAACCCGAGCATACATAAAAGAAATATTATGCATATGTTTTGTTGCCATTTTCCCACCATTTGGTTCACAGATCAAATTAGAAAAAGTAACAGAGGAAAAAAGGAGAACCCGAAAAAAACAATCTGCATTTATATATTATATATATTTTGTTAAATATATAAATATAGTTTTTTTGTATTTTTTTTCCTTTTTCCCCTCTATTGGTCACTTCTCACATGTTCTGTGGTTGTCCCTTGCCATCAACCACCTTCTTTTCTTATCGATAGTACAATCTAGCAAGGCTTTTTACTAAACAGGGAACTCCCAGCTATATACAAAGTAATTGCAAATTGTAGGCAAAAATCTTCCCAGGTTAGTGAATAACTCTGTGTAAATCAAGGGATCTATCTATGACCAATAAGGCAAAAGGGGATGTACACACATTGCAATTACAAGATCAGTCACCAAGGGTCT